TAACTCTATACGACATGCTCATCACCCAGATTCAATAACGAACATTTTGTAATGCCTCCTGTTTTGGCTGAAATATTTTAAAGTAAATCCCATGTGTCGTATATTTTAGCCATAAATACTTTAGCATGGATGACCAAGAAGAAGGACATTCTCTTGCATAATCACAACATCATTCTCACACCCCACACAAACAGCAGTTCTTAACAACCAATGCTCTGCTGTTTTCTTATTGTCCTGAAAGTGCCTTCGCAAAGTCCTTGGCATCAGGATCCACCCCTAGCTCTGTACACACATTGCACTGCTCTGATGTCCCTGACCCCTGGTCATCGGGAAGATTCCTCCTGCTGGCTTCTGCCCTCCCTCGTCTTCCTGTGGACCACGGAGGTGTTTCATGACACAGATGAATGGTCCTTTAGAGTGTCCCACGTTGCTTCCTCCTGAGTCTTTCAACTTCCCTGTCTTTGGTATTTCTGTTGACCCATGTGAGGCTCTAGAAGCTTATGAGGTCACGCTGACTGGGCAAGGATCCTCCCGGGTGTTGGGTGCTGTGGGCCTCTTCCCCCTCAGGAGGAGCAGACGCTACTGGACCCATTTGTAGTGTTTTGAAGACAAGTGAAGGTATTTTACTAGTTGTCCCCTAATCCCCTGGTTGTAAACCTGTGTCTACCCATCTAGGAAGAGCAAATACACCATGGCATGATGATGTAGCTCCATGCAAATATTTGGAAACTGTGGATAATTACCTAAATCAATTATTTAATTAGGGGTTGCAATATCCCACAGATTTTGATTCTGATTATATTATACTTCACATGTAAATTATGTTGACCAAATAGACATCCTTTTTGTTTTTTTACATTTTTATTAGTGCCTTACTGCCATACATAACAGTGGAGCATATAACATAATTTGCTCCATTTTAATTCCCAGTACTTCCCCTTTCCCATCTGCCTCCCTCCCTCTCAATTCACTGTTCTCCCTTCTATTTTTATGAGATTCCCTACCCCCTTTAAAATCCTTATTCTCTCTACCTTCTGCAAATGAGAAAAAACAGGATAGACATCTTTATCTCATGGAGGTTTCCTGTTTGAGAAGAGCATACCTTTTAAAAACCATTTTATCATGAAAAATTTCAGCCTATTCATCCACTTAAATAGGCTGAATGTCAGCAGAGTTTTTCAGTTGTTGTTGTTTTATTCCAGAAAATTTCTGTGTGCGTCTAGTTATGTTCATTAGTAGGCATATTATATATTTTTTGAGAATGTTGAATAGGAATTCTTTACTATTAAGTTGTCTTAGTCAGTTCTGGCGACTGTAACAAATCACCACAGACCAGGTTGTTTATAAACAACAAACACTTATTTCTCACAGTTCTGGAGTCTGGGAAGTCCAAGATCAAGGTGCCAGCAGATTCATGCCTAGGGAGGGCTTGTTTCCAGTCTCTGTGACTTCCAGCTGCGTTCTCACGTGGGGGAAGGGCAAGGCAGCTCTCTGAGGCCTCTTTCCTGAGGGCTCCTGTCCCCAGGAGGGCTCACTCGCTAGGGTGAGAAGGAGAGCCAGCATCTGTGGAGGGCTGGACACTGGAGAAAGGACCTGTGGACCAGGTTTCCTTTGGGGAAAACACTTTTGTAGGAAAAAAACAATCATACAATAAAAAAAAAAAATCAACACAAACTGGAAATTACAGCCACACACAGATAAAGAACATAGATTCCTTACACATTGGAAAAGCTTTTAGACCCGCCTCTCTGTCTAACAGGAGGAAAAATTCACCCTCATCCTGAGTGTATCCTTCTCATGATTCCCGGCATTTCCAGGCTCTGTTCTCTGAGCCAACAGGGATGGTGGCCACACCTTCTGGGTCCATCTCATCAGTGTCCCTGCCCTCTGGAACTGAGGAGGTGGGCCCACCCGTGGCCACACTCTCCAGGCCAGCGCCTGTGGGCTCGGGTGGCAGAGGCAGGTCTGCTGTCCTCTGCCCATCCTAGGCCATTCCTCCCTTCTCCTCAAGGACCAGGCATGCTGTCGGCTGAGTAACTCCACCAGTGGCCTCCTGCCTGCAGAACCACAGAAGTGCCACTGTCCTCCTTCATTTCATCCACCTCTGTACCCTGAAGTCCTCGTTGGCAGAGTTTCTGCTAGACAGCTCTTTGGAGATATATCTGCTAAATTCCAGAGCCTGGACCTCCAAAAAGAACTCAAAGGGTTGAGGTTAGCAGCTTTCATCGCCACAGCTGGAGAGGTGACTGTGGTCGGAGGCTGAGGACAGCGGTGGGCACAGAAATGTATGGCCCAGACCTCCGCTGCTCTGGGTGAGTGACAGACACCACAGCTGCTGTCCCCCGCACCCTCCCCAGGTATTCACCAAGGCCATGCAGGGTGCCTCCAGCCAGTGACTGAGTGGCCAGACACCAAGACACACCACCTCCTGGGACAGGGGCTCCTCTGATAGGTGACCTCAGTCAAAACACTCTTGCTCAATCTGGCTCACACTGGGCCTTCTGACACCTTTTCTTTTTAAAAATTTTTTTGTTGTCGTCGTTGTTGTAGATGGGCACAATACCTTTATTTGTTTTTATTTTTATGTGGTGTCAGGGTTTAAACCCAGAGCCTCATGCAGGCTAGGCAAGCGCTCCACCACTGAGCCACAACCCGCCCCCTCCCCACTTCTTTTCTTCATAACCCTTCTTCATCTCCTCCCCCTGCCCCCAGGGAGTCCCGCATGGTGGGCTGACGGTTCTCCTTGAGGTCTTTGGCTTCCTTCCATTTTCCCTCTCCGATATCCTCTCCCTAACACACTCTTGATTCTAGAATCATATCTGAACATTTCTTTTTAGGGGTCCCTAACTAACTCCATTACCTCCGCTTCTGGTTTGAATAGTTTAGGAAATGACTGGAAGGAGGGAGAAGTGGCAGAAAGGGAGGCAAAGAAAGAACTTTAGAAAAAATTACCATCCAATGAAGATGGTAATTAGATTTCACAAGAAACAGTAAAAAATCAAAAATAAGAGCCAGGTACGATGATGCACACCTATAATCCAGCAGCTTGGGTGGCTGAGGCAGGAGGATCCCAGAGTCAAGGTTAGCCTTGGCAACTTTACGAGACCCTCTCTCAAAGCATGAAAAGGGCTGAAGGTGTAGTTTAGTGATAAAGTGTCCCTGAGTTAAATCCGAAATACTGAGAAGGGTGGGGGGAGATACCCATTTTATGTAAATGACAATATTTGTAATGTACTTAAAATCATTATCCCTTGATATTATGCAATTATTATAAAAATAGTAGATGGCAATTGAAAACATGATAGGGGATAAGAAGTTTTTCAAAATTTGTTTGTTACAGACACTAAAATTTTGGAAGTCTACTTTCCCAGACCTTTGCTACCATTAAGATCCTTTAAGAAGTCAGAGGCTGAGAGTTAGTGAGGAAATCTGAGGTGACAAGCACTTTGTTCCTAAGAAGTTTAGGGGCTCAATTCCAAGCTAAAAGTCAGGGCAGCTGAGCTGAACCACAGAGAATTCTTCCATAATTAATTATGCTTAAATGTTAGGGCCTAACATACTCTAGGAACTATGATATGTCCTGCTCCATTTCCAACCCAAAGTTCCAAATCTAATCCTAGATCATCAAGTGGAAAGACCACCAATACCAATACCAGAAAAACAGTAGCAAAAACAGCCTGTTCTTCAACCCTAGGATAATGTGCTTGCCTTTCATGAGATCCAAACCCAGAAAATTTGATTCCAAGGTGTTTCTGGATTGACTAGGGAGAATCTGAGTGTCAGATGATAAAGAGAAATCTATCAGAAAAACAGAAGCACAAGAATTAATAAAATCCAATGTGAAATAGGAACTGCATGCTCTTTACAGAACCTAAGGGATTCCCCAACAAGGTGGGGTAAAGAAGAGAAGGAGGGAGATCCAGAAGCCCCATAGATTTTCATGTAGTTTTAAATACACTGTGCTATGCTTTGGAGGTGGTTCGTGTGTGTGTCTCCTGAAGCCTGGTCTCCAGTGTGGCCATATTGAGAGGTCGTGGTCCCTTAAAAGGTAGGGCCTGGTGGAAGGCAACTCGATGGGAGCAACACCTTTAGAAGTGATCAGTGCAGGCCTCATGGGGCCACACTACCTCCCTCAAGAGTGGCTTGTTCTGAGGCAGCCAGCGACTCCCTGCATATGTGCTCTGCATGTACCCCCCTTACGTGTGCCCCCACCCCAGTGATGCCACTTGCCATGAGGCCCTCCCTAGAGCCCAGCAGATGAGGGGCATGCTCCTGAACCTCATGCTGGAGATGGAACCCAGAGCCTCATTCATAGATGTAACAGAGAATGGACTAAAGACGTGGGCTTTTATTTCTTTGTCTTGTTTTCATATTAATAAGCATTTAACTTTTGATAACAGGAAGGGCCTGGAAGAAGCACAGAAGAATTGGAGACGAGTTATCCAAGTCGGAGGCTGTAGGCCACTGTCTTCTCAGGATTGGTTAAACAGGGGGTTCCACCTAGGGAGAGAAGAACCAGAAACATGGGGCGTGCACACCGTCCTGGGGATGTGGCTTTCCATGGAGGTCCACAGTGGCCCGAATCCTGCTAGGTCCTCCCCTCCAGAGCTCTGAAATGTGCGGAAAGGAAAGAGGGCCGGGTGTGAGGGGCTCTAGACATGCCCCCTAAGGCCCTCTGACCTCCTGATCCCTGATTAAATGTGAAGAGGAAAATGCTCCAGGATTACAAACTCTAAACGGGGGAGGGAAGGCAATGGAAAGAATCAGCCTAAAAATCCAGTAAGGGCTGAGGAGCTTGGAGGGAGCGCAGGGCTTGTCCGGTCCAGGTGTCCTGTCACATGGGGAGACTCTGATGCCCTCTCCGCCAACTGAACGGAGCATTTTCTGCGGAGGGGGGTCTGTTGGGGCTCCCGGGTCCCATCCGGAGGACGGATCTCCGGACAGCCTCCCTCTAAGAGCTCGGAAGGACGGACAGTCCTGGACGCCAGGACAAGCTCACCTCAGTCCAGCGTGGGCCAGGGCTGCATGCACTGCTGCTGGCACTGGTAGAAGCAGCACTTCTTGGGTCCGTGGCAGCCTCCGTCCCGCCGGCACCGGGGAAGCAGCGTGAAGGAGCAGGAGAGAAAGAACTCGGGGCAGTACCCAGATTTCTGCTGAACTGTTGGAGAGTGCCACTGGGTGGGTCTGGGGACACCGACCTGTCGCTCCGGCACAGGCCCCAGAGGAGACGTCCCCCCCGGACACCCCCGGGACGGCCTCGCCTTACCTTCCTTCATGTTGGCCTGCGCCACGCGGAGCCAAAGGAGGGCGGCCACCGAGAGCAGGGAGAGGCTGCTCGGCTTCATGGCGCAACAGACAGGCGCCGGCGACGGGCAGGCCCGGGGTGTCTGCGCTGGCGGCGGGCCACCGGCAGGGGGTGCTGTGGCCGCGGGGCAAGAGGTCAGGGTGCTGCGGGGGCCGGCAAAGGCCGCGTCTTGTCAGCCCGGGGAGGACAGTAAGGTGACCTCTGGGGTGGAACTGCAGGGAGCCCGCAGGGACGGTCCCCTCTTCAGGCAACCAAGGGCTTTGGACCGCAGATTTGAGGCGATAGCGGGGAATTGTCCTTCCCGGCCACGCCTCAGGCCGGCCAAGCCCACTCTGCCCCCGCCTATCCCGGAGGATGGAAGCCCGCCCCTTCCACACGTGCGGGTGCGGGGGCGTTTGAGGTGTTTATGGGTCAACTTTCTACCCCCCACCATCCCAAGGACAAAGCTAGATAATGGGCTGTGCGCAGCCTGCTGCCAAGGTTAAGAAAAACGCCTATTCATTGTGCATCGTGGGTGCATGATTCATGTTTTATTCCTTAATTCCTTCCTTTGCATCTCCAAGACGTTCATTTGCTGATAAAGTCACAAGGCTAACTTGAGGTCATTTTGAACGTGAGCCCCAGGACAAACAACTCTTGAGCCCCTCTTTGCACTCCTAGAGAAATGTTGAGTTGTTCCTGCTTGGTTGGTTGCCTAGAACATACCTGTGTAAGCAATGCCACGTAAGTACACACGCACGTGTACACACACACACACACACACACACACACACAGAGTTATTAATGCATCCAGAGACTTGTAACCTGACATAAGAGGCAGAGGTTCCCTGGAGCAGTTACTACATCTCTTCTCTTTCTCTCTGGTGCAACCTTTTGGCTTCCTCTGGGCTTGGCCTCTTTTGGCTGTGCCTCTGTGCTTCTCTCTTCTAGTTCTGGGCTGCCCTGCCCTCACTGAGATGTAGACCACATTTAGAAAATAAATGAAAATCCTTCCTACCTGTTTTACATGCCAATAACTTCCAGTGTTTCTGCTTTTATTTTCAAGATGTGTGCTTGCAGCTCCACACACTCAGATCTTTGTTTTCAAAACAATTTGACATTCACAGAAATTTTGTGATATCAAAATATGAAACTGTATCCCAATCTTGCTATAAGTATAAAATTCCAAATCCCAAATGATTTTGTCATATATAAAATAGTGGCACATCACAAACAATTAGGGGTTTATTTCAACAATGTATGATTGGTTTAACATTCCAAATTAGGTCAATGAATATTTCCTATTAGAACATGGAGGGAAACTTGATTATCTCCATATCAGACACAGAATATATGAAAAAATCATTTATCTGTTTATGATATATAAATGAGAAAATAATGACACAGGATAAGAAATTCAATTATTTAATGTGATAACCTCTACAAAAACCCTACAAATGGGAAGCAATTTTGGGGACTAAAATCTGCTTATCCATCAAAAGTCATGAGAATATTAGCAATTTTTAATTCCAATGATGTTCTTCATAGAAATAGAAAAAGCAGTCATGGAATTCATTTGGAAAATTAAGAGGCCCAGAATAGCCAAAGCAATCCTCAGCCAGAAAAGTGAAGCAGGAGGCATCACAACACCAGAGTTTAAATCATACTATGGCATGGTATTGGCATCAAAATAGACATGTAGACCAATGGAATAGAAGAGAAGACACAAAGACAAACCCACATATACGCAGTTATCTCACACTAGACAAAGGTGACATAAACATACACTGGAGAAAAGATAGCCTCTTCAACAAACGGTGCTGGGAAAACTGGAAACCCATATTAGAATTAAATTTAACCCCTGTCTCTCACCCTGCGCAAAACTCAAAGTAGATCAACGACCTAGGCATTAGACCAGAAATCCTGCGCTTCCTGGAGGAAAATGTAGGCCCAGTTCTTCATCTTGTCAGCTTAGGAACTGACTTCTTCCTCAACAAGACTACTAAAGCACAAGAAGTAAGATCAACAATCAATAAATGGGACGACATCAAACTAAAAAGCTTCTTCATAGTGAAGGAAAGAATTAAGAACATGAAGAGAGAGCCTACAGAATGAGAGAAAATCTTTACCACATGCACCTTCGATAAAGCATTAATCTCTAAGACATATAAAGAACTCAAAAAAATTAATACCAAAAAACCAAATAACCCAATCAATAAGTGGGAAAAGGAATTGAACAGACACTTCACAGAAGAAGAAATACAATGTTCAAAAAATAGATGAAAAAAAATGTTCAACATCATTAGCAATTAGAGAAATGCAAATTAAAACTACACAGAGATTCCATTTTACTCTAGTCAGAATGGTAATTGTCAAGAATACTAGGAACAATAGATGTTGGTGAGGATGTGGAGAAAAATGCTCACTCATACATTACTGATGGGACTGCAAATTGGTGCACCCACTCTGGAAAGCTGTATGGAGATTCTTTGGAAAACTTGGAATGGAACCACCATTTGACTCAGTTATCCCACTCCTCAGCATATACCCAAAACACCTAAAATCAGCATATTACAGTGATGCAGCCACATCAATGTTTATAGCAGCTCAATTCCCATTACCAAAGCTATAGAACCAAACTAGATGCCCTTCAACAGATTAATGGATAAAGAAAATGTGGTATATACACAATGAAATATGACTCAGCCATTAAGAAGAATGAAATTATGGCATTTGCCAGTAAATGGATGAAACTAGAGACTATTATGCTAAGTGAAATAAGCCAATCCCAGAAAACCAAAGGCCGAATGTTCCGATATGTAAGTGCTAATGCACAATGGCAGGGTTTGAGGAGAACAGAAATTCACTGGATTAGACAAAGGAGAATGAAGGGAAGGAACAGGGATGGCACTAGGAAAGACAGCAGAATGAATCAGACATGGCTTTCCTACGTTCATATGTGAATACACGACCAGTCTAATTCCATACCGTGTACGACCACAAGAAGTTAGACTCCATGAACGTAGACTGTGTCAAAATACACTCTGTCATGTGTATCTAAAAAGAAATTTGTAAAAATAGTTTTAAAAAAATCTTCTCCAAAAGCACAAGAAGTAAGATCAACAATCAATAAATGGGATTTTTTGATTGTTGATCTAACTCTGAACTAAATCAAAGCCTTGTCACAACCCATGGTGTTGACTGAAGGAAAAGAAAGGTGGTGCATCACCCCTAAGGAAGAGGGGAGTGGGAAAACTCCGTGTCCTGAATACTCCCATTCTGTCCCCAAAAAGCTAGCCACGTTAAGGGAACAATGAGAGCCAGTCTGGGCCAGAAAGTCCAGATGCACGTTATCTTGAAGGACACTGGCTCTCTCTTGTGTGTGCTGGGAACTAGGGCCAGCTGGTGTCATCTGTCAAAAGCCAGCTTCTGCATGTCCACTGGGACAGCTGCTCCTTGGGAGCCAGCTAAGCCAGCTAAGGCTGCTGTCACTGCCTTGCAGCCTGACATACCTCCCCTCTCTGAGTGGGGACTGGTGTGGGACAGAGGACCCTGGAAGGGGTATGTGTAGTCATCTAAGTGGCTGCCGCTGGGCAAGATCCCGTGTGGGAGAGAAGGGGACGCTGGGCAAAGCACCTGGGGGGACAGGGGAGCTGTCCTCCTCAAACCTTGCCGCTGTGTGTTAGCACCCACATTCAACATTTGCCACTGAATTCTTCCTGGAACAGTCCCTGACCTGGTGTTTCCCCCAGGCCTCCCAGGCGGTCTCTGGGCACTTTCTCCGTCTCTCTCGCAACCTACCCTGCTGCCCTGGCACCACCGGCTGTGACTGGTGAATCTTGTGGGAGTCACTAGTCCTGTTTCCTGTTGGGCTGTGCGGTCGCCATGAAGACCAGCAGGCTTGCTCTGCAGTAGCTGGGGAAACCAGCAACTGGGCGACCACTTCAGGGGAGAAAGGTTTCCTCTGGCCTCAAGCCTCCATGCTCCCCACCCCCAAATTGTCACTCTTTCAACTATTCAGCAACTCCCTAAAAATCCCCTCTCAGGGCATGTGTTTACTCATGTCACTTCAATCTTGCTCTATGTGGACAGCACTGTCCCTGGGGAGCGCTCTCTCTCTCTCTTTCTCTCTCTCTCTCTCTCTCTCTATATATATATATATATATGGAGGGGAAGTGATATATATATATATATATGATTTAACTGAGGGGTGCTCTACCACTGATCTACCACTGAGCTAGTCCCACAGCCTATCTATCTATTTATTTATTTATTTTTGAGACAGGGTCTCAGTTGCTGCTGTTGGCCTCAAACTTGTGATCCCCCTGCCTCAGCCTCCTTAGTATCTCAGATTACAGGCAGGTGTCACCATGCCTGCCCTGGGGCAATTTTTTGACATCACAGCTACTTCAGACTGTGAGATTCATTGGGGCTAACAAAAGAAAAGAGTGAAGAATGAGATGCCCAAAGATTTTTGAAAATCCCATATTGGCCGGGGGGGTGGGGGGTGGGGTGGGAGAAGGCCACCTGCAGGTGTGTACATTGTGCGTTTGTCCCTGACTGTGTACGGGCTAAGGAAGGAATGAAGACCCACCTCTGCCTAATTTCAGGATCTGGGCAAACAGGAAGTGAAGGCCAATGAGAACCTGTTAACTGCTTGCTGGAACGTTGAAAATACGCCCCCAGATACACACAGCCCTTGAGAAACCCAGGTGATGTGCTGGTTCACAGAACTCAAGCTCATCCCCGCCCAGCCATTAGTCGCTAGCAAGCCAATGGAACCGACTGCAGTGGGTGCACCTGAGAAACTATTCAGACTAATTTACAAAATTGGTTCAGGAGAGTAACTCAACAAATGATCCGTAACAAAACGACATTAAAAAGAACTCTGGGGAGAGGAACTTATTTCCTAGGTTGGCACATTGTATTGTGTAAAAATTTTGATTTCATTGAAAAAAAAATAAAATATGTCAAGAAAGGAGAAAATCACCCCTGCACAGCGGGGAGGGGAAGTGACCCATAGAAACAGTCCTTACGGCATCCCAGACGGTGGACCCCTGC